GTTGGAGAAATGATCTTAGGCTTTCTTTGATGTTCTTGAAGTCCACTTTGTCTAAAAATCCCACCTTTGCACTAAATATATCCTTAGTTGTCCCCTTTGAGCCTAATCCTTTTTATTGGCAACCACATTATGCCTTATCCTTTTTGAAAAAGTAACCCTCTTTTGAACCCTTCCCTCCTTGAACTTGAGGTTGTGAAAAAAATCGAGGCTAAAAACCTAAGTTGGTGGTGTTATGGGAAATTCATTGAAGGGATGGATGCTTACAACATGAGGGCTTGATAGAAAAAAAAAATGAAGAGAGAAATTGAGGGTTGGATGGAAAGTCTTAAAGAAAGAAAAAGCTTTGAAAAAAGAAAGAAAGAAAATGAATAAATGAGACTTGAATCCTTTAAAATTTGAAAATGGTTGTATGTGGGGCAACTAGAGTAGAAATAAGAAAAGAATAATGAAAAATAGTGTGGAATGTGCATGGGTTTGAAAAGTGAGGGTTGGATGGGAAGTCTCAAAGAAAGAAAAAGCTTTGAAAAAGAAAGAAAGAAAATGAAGAACCTAAATGTTATCCTAACCTTTCCTAAGCCTATATTACAAGCTTAACAAAGTCCTTTGAGATTTCTAACCAAATGGAGTTGAGTCAATAATGATTGAAAATCTGGGCAAGCCTATGGTGTGACATTTTGTGTACATGAGATGATTCTTTGTGAGTGTGAGTGTTGCATCTTTGTTGTCCCATGTCTTTTTTATATGTGTGCGGTTTTGGGACGCTTCTTTCATGTGAGGGCATGTAAACCGAAAAAGTGGTGATTTTGAAAATTCCTAATTGAGTCAAGTGAGCATGTGAAAGAGTTAATGAGTTGAGTCATCTCTTGAGTTTGAGTTGTTGTCACTTAAATGATTCTTGGTTTTTAAAACTGTAATTAGAATGTGAGGATTTCTTATGTGAAAAAAGTTTGCATGTGGACTATTTGTTAGTACCAACCGGAGCCATTACCTTTGTGCTTAATTGAGAAAGGGAAGCTGATTTGTGGTGTGTCTTGAAATATGAGCCTCTTGTGTTCGAACATTACTAAGAGTTGGGTATTTTTATTAACGACGACCGCTTACTCTGTTAACTTGTTTTGAGGGTGATTTGAGCGTCATCAATTGTTTAAGATTTTGGAAAAGTTTTAAACATGTGTGTATATTACTTCCTAGTGATGCAAATCTCCAGCTTCTTTTCACTGTTGTGGAGAATACACCATCTGAAACAGTTTGATCAAATTGCACTGTTGGTCTTGGAGATCTGGCAGTTCGTTTTTCTAATCTGTTAGAGCCATGGACAGAGCATATGTATGCATGATTAAGAGATCGTTCATTCTCATCTAATACTTACTGAATGACATGAAGGTTTGGCTGGACTATCAAACATTTATACTTAGCTTTCATGTGTAAGAATTTTTATCATCTTGATTTGCGTGTATCATTATTAGGTGGAAGTTTGTGTAAATGAAATGGCCAACTGTTTGGAAGATGAAGATGAAAGAATTTCAAATCTTGCCAAAACTTTCTTTCATGAGTTGTCAAAGATAAGGTAGTATATTTACTCAACTTTTCTTTCATCAGTTCCCTAATAAAGAAGTTCATCTATCTAATCTCTTTCTAGTCTTTCTACTATTGAGCTTCTTTCATCTGTTATTGCGTGTTTTGGTGTGCACGTCACTATAATACTTGTTTTTTTCCTTTACACTTAATGTTTAGTGGGAACTTTTGCATTGTTCCCGTCTTTTTGTTTAGTTCCAATTTCTTTCATTTGTTCTTGACCTTCAATTAGGAGGAACAAAGGTATTTTAGACTGGTTCCTCTTTTTTGGTTAGTTATTAGGGTATATTTTCCTAAGATTGTCGTAGATCCAAGTGGAAACTTTTGATTATTGCAACTCTGTAAAACACATGACCCTCTTTCTAAGAAAGTGTTCTTCTGCAGTTTTCTTGAACAAAGTATGCGTTGAAACAGACACGTGGGAAATTTGGTCTTTGTTCAAAGATAGTACGTTGAGCAATTGGTCTTGACCTGATCATCTGACGTTCCTCTGATTCTACTTTTTTGAGTCTTTAGTTATTTGTATTATATTCCCTGTCTTGTTTCTGTTCTCTGTAGGAGGTGGTTGCGAGGGTGGTGGATTATTTCTTTGGAATAAGAGAATATTTTGTACTGTTAGAATGCTTCTTCCAGTGATTTTTTCCTGTATTTCTTCTTTCCATTTTACTTGTTCTCATCCAGATCCTTTTCTCTCATTTTAACTTTTTTTTAATGTTATAATCACACATTAAGTTTGATGATTTTGGATGTCTTATAATTTTAACTTTTTCTAATGTTATAATCACACATTAGTTTGATGATTAAGATGTCAATGAAGTAATATTTCTCTGTTGGCATTTGAGTGATATATTATCTGTAACTGAAGTTGTACTATCTAAGGTGCAGTGTGAGCTGCAATGTGAGGTATGTACTGCACCGAAGCAAGGTGCATGACATTTATTCATATGGGAACCCTGCCAAGTCTAAATTCTCAACAGTTGCATTATTACTTATTGTTAACATTAAGTCAACCGTTGCTTACAGTGATTGTTAATCATGTAAAATCAATTCATGCTTTACTTCCAGGAGAAGATGCTTTCCTCAATGTGACAACTTAGATTATATTTGAACTAAGAAAAATAATGGAGATGTTCCAGGAGAAATAGCTTGATTGAGAAGCAGAATAGAAAAATGCAGAAACACCGAAGAATTAGTGGAAAAGATAAATGAATGCAATCAAAGGGTAATTCCAAAAAAGAGAAACAAAGTTGCATAGTCTCCATAGAACTATAAATGGAATTTTAGTTTTTAAGAAAATATTGCTTTGTTAATTTATTTTGATAAAGTGAAGTTACTATTCGTGAAGGTCTTTGAACTTCTCTCAGGTATTCAAACAAGTGATTTTTTTGGAAATTTGAACTAAGGCTCTATGGTTGTCTGTATCCCACCATGGAGCTCTCCCTTGAATCTTACTGTTTAAATGTTGATTAATTTGCAGGCAATGAGTGCAAGATCGATGCTGAGTTTTCTGACCGGTTCTTTAGCACTCTTTAAGCATGTTCCTAAGGCTACCAAGTACTTCAACATTATAGTAAGTATTGGTTAGTTTCATCTTATGCTCAATTACAATTTTCTAAGATCATTTTTTCTATCAAACTACTTCCTAATGACATTTGCCTTCTCAATCTTTTCCCTGTTGATTATAGTAAACGTGCAAAAATATTTTTGCTTTGGTAGTCCCTTGTATTCTCTTTTGATATTTGGACTGTGAGGACACAATCTCATTTTCAGTTGGGGGTGCCTCCCTTGTACTCATTTTGTTGATTGTTTCTGCATACTGCGATTGTGCCCTTGTCGGGCGTACTTTTCCTCCTTGTTATGGATTGGTGTGCCCTTGTCGGGCTTTGATATTGTGGATGTTTCTGTTGATATTGTGTTGGATTGGTCTATTTTAGTTTTTGATTTGTAGTTTGTAGCTTCTTTGTTTTTTTTTTATAATAAGATTTGGATTAACGATCCCCGATGATGGATAGAGAGTGACGTCCTTCTTAAGGTTAAATCATCGATTGCTTGTGAATGTTTGATTGGCGTTGATTGTGGCGAAGTTTGAGTAGCCGTTCCCGAATAGATGCATGAGGTTGCTTGTTGATGGATTGGTTGATGACTTTAAGGGTAAAATCATCGTCATTTTGGGAAGGTTTTGACTTGGTTGGTACTAAGAGCATAGTCATGCATGTGAATCATGAGCATACCTCTCCGTTTTTATAAGGTTGAGCATGTTATGAATGATTTGTGACAACTCTTACAACTCTTTTTGTGACTTTTGATTCGTTAGCGGTTAAAATGTTCAGTGCTACTTGTATTTTGAAAAGGAAGTAAGATTTTGAACCATCTTGATTGATTTGCAGGCCATGTGTGGTGAGTTATTGAATAATGCCTTGTGTTCGCTATTGTCACCTAGAACTTGCCCGGTTGGTCTTGAAATGTTGGTCTTGATTGAGTTTGGTTGGAGAAATGATCTTAGGCTTTCTTTGATGTTCTTGAAGTCCACTTTGTCTAAAAATCCCACCTTTGCACTAAATATATCCTTAGTTGTCCCCTTTGAGCCTAATCCTTTTTATTGGCAACCACATTACAAGCCTTATCCTTTTTGAAAAAAGTAACCCTCTTTTGAACCCTTCCCTCCTTGAACTTGAGGTTGTGAAAGTCGAGGCTAAAAGCCTAAGTTGGTGGTGTTATGGGAAATTCATTGAAGTGATCAATGCTTACCATATCCGCTTGATAGAAAAAAAAAGTAGAGAGAAATTGAGGGTTGGATGAGAAGTCTTAAAGAAAGAAAATGCTTTGAAAAAGAAAGAAAGAAAATGAATAAATGAGACTTGAATCCTCCAAAAGTTGAAAATGGTTGTATGTGGGGCAACTAGAGTAGAAATAAGAAAAGAATAATGAAAAATAGTGTGGAATGTGCATGGGTTTGAAAAGTAGAGAAAGTTGGAAATGATGAGTTGTTGTGTAGTGTTCAAGGAGGGTGTAGTCACTTATACCTAAATGATATTCTAACCTTTCCTAAGCCTATATTACAAGCTTAACAAAGTCCTTTGAGATTTCTAACCAAATGGAGTTGAGTCAATAATGATTGAAAATATGGGCAAGCCAATGATTGGTGTGACATTTGTGTACATGAGATGATTCTTTGTGAGTGTGAGTGTTGCATCTTTGTTGTCCCATGTCTTGTTTATATGTGTGTGCGGTTTTGGGACACTTCTTTCTTGTGAGGGCATGTAAGCTGAAAAGTGGTGATTTTGAAAATTCCTAATTGAGTCAAGAGCATGTGAAAGTGTTAATGAGTTGAGTCATCTCTTGAGTTTGAGTTGTTGTCACTTAAATGATTCTTGGTTTTTAAATATGTAATGAGAATGAGAGGATTTCTTATGTGAAAAAAGTTTGCATGTGGACTATTTGTTAGTACCAACCGGAGCCATTACCTTTGTGCTTAATTGAGAAAGGGAAGTTGATTTGTGGTGTGTCTTGAATTATGAGCCTCTTGTGTTCGAACATTACTAAGTGTTGGGTATTTTCATTAATGACGACCGCTTACTCTGTTAACTTGTTTTGAGGGTGATTTGAGCGTCATCAATTGTTTAAGATTTTTGGAAAAAGTTTTAAACATGTGTGTATATTACTTCCTAGTGATGCAAATCTCCAGCCTCTTCACTGTTTTGGAGAATGCACCATCTGAAACAGTTCGATCAAATTGCACTGTTACTCTTGGAGATCTGGAACTCGTTTTCCTAATCTGTTAGAGCCATGGACAGAGCATACGTATGCATGATTAAGAGATCGTTCATTCTCATCTAATACTGAAGACATGATGAAGGTTTTGCTGGACTATCAAACATTTATACTTAGCTTTCATGTGGACGAATTTTCATCATCTTGATTTGCGTGTATCATTATTAGGTGGAAATTTATATAAATGGAATGGCCAACTGTTTGGAAGATGAAGATGAAAGAATTTCAAATCTTGCCAAACTTTCTTTCATGAGTCGTCAAAGAAAGGTAGTATATTTGCCCAACTTTTCTTTAATCAGTTGCGACTTTCTACTATTGAGCTTCTTTCATCTGTTATTGCGTGTTTCGGTGTGCACGTCACATAATACTGTTGTTTTCCTTTACACTTAATGTATAGTGGGAACTTTTTTGCATGTTCCTGCTTTTTGTTAAGTTCCAACTTCTTTCATTTTTTCTTGACCTTCAATTAGGAATGTTCCTCACATTATACATGTAAAACGGGAAAACAAAGACCGGTGGCATGGTGCTGAAATCCAGATTTTCTTTCATTTTTTATTGACCTTCAATTAGGATGAACAATGGTATTTTAGACTGGCTCCTCTTGTTTAGTTATTTGGATATTTTTCCTAAGATTGTTGTAGATCCAAGTGGAAACTTTTGATTATTTTAACTCTGTATGTAACACATGATCCTTTTTCTAAGGAAGTGTTCTTCTGCAGTTTTGTCTTGAACAAAGTATGAAACAGACACGTGGGGAATTTGGTCTTTGTGCAAAGATGGTACATTGAGCAATTGGTCTTGACCTGATCATCTGACGTTCTTCTGATTCTACTTTTTTGAGTCTTAGTTATATGTTTTAGATTCCCTGTCTTGTTTCTGTTCTCTGTTATAGGGTGGTTGCGAGGGTGGTGGATTATGTCTTTGGAATAAGAGAAATTTTTGTACTGTTAGAATGCTTCTTCCAGTGATTTTTGCCTGTAGTTCTTCTTTCCATTTTACTTGTTCTCATCCAGACCTCAATGGATGTCAGCATGTACCATAATTTAAGAATTTATCCTTTTCTCTCATTTCTACAGGCATTGATTTGGTCCAAGATGAGTACAGGACTTTCCATTGAGATTAAATCTTCCATGAACAGTGAAAATTATACCTCATTCTGTAGGCTGGATATTGATATTTACAAGTATGAGATGACTTAGAAATAGAAAGTTATATTTAAGAATGCATGGTAACACAAGATTATATTGTTTTTGTTTTCCAAGGTATATTACTGTATTACGCCTTCTTTTCAGGAATGTTCCTCACATTCATATACATGAAAACGGGAAAACAAAGACCGGTGGCATGGTGCTGAAATCCAGATTGTCATTGAAAGGAACTGGACAACGTACCGAGTATGTAGTTCTTGAATAGTTGTGACAGAAATTCTACTACGTTTCACCTCATTCATGTGTTGAAAGCAAACTTAGTCAAATTATTCACCTTCTTTATTTCTGATTTCTTTCTGTGTTTACAGTCCAAAGTCAATGCATTATATGTGACAAATGGCTGTCATCAAGCCCAATGCCCAATTCCTTTTCCAATTCATATCAGATTCTCCCGAGTACTTTCTCTATCTCCCCTCCGCCCCTTCACCCCTCTCCCTTCTCTTCTCCCCTTTGTTTTAATTAATTTGTTTGTGCAAGCTACAAGCATGTCCACAATTTTGTGTTCGTAAAATATGTGCTGCATTCTTCGGTTTCACTCTAGTTTTGAATTGATTGTAGGAAAAATGTGCTTATAAGGTTTCACCAGAAGAACAGACATAATGCCTTCTGTTCCTCTTGAGACCAAGTACCATCCATCTGCTGTAGACATACTTCTTATCAAACGGCTTATAACGGAAACATCTAAACAGACTCTTTTGCAGTTTTCCTTCAGCATGAATTTGTAAACATTGGGCAGTCTCATGCAGAACGTTTAATCTGTGAGAACTTGAAACTGATTGCATTCATCTGTGTGAGATTCCTTGATAAAATAAATTAGTTGGCTCTATGGCTTATTGACCTTTGAAAATAGTTTATCTATTGCTTGCATTCTATTCAGCCACTATTAGACGACAGTTTGTTATAGTGGTTACTTACTGCTCAGTGCTCACCAACTCAATGCAGTTAGAAAAGATATAAAATTGTCATAATGATAGTAGAGTAGGTGGAGATTTTTTTTTTGGAACTGGTTACTTGTAGAGTAGGTGGATGTATTTAAGGTCACACATTGTTGCAATTAGCCAACAAAAGAGAATCGACCACAATATTGAAGGCATTAATCAACAATGATACACTAAATGCATTGTTAATCAAGTTAGTCTTCAGATTTTCAGCCTAGGAAATGTCCTTACACTACTGTGAGAGAACTTGTTTAGAATGCACTTGATTCTGCTGAATCCATCTCTGAACTTCTAGTTGTAGAGATAACCATGTAAGTGATTATTTTTACTATTTAGATAACTACATCAATGAGCTAACATAGATCCTGTAATGGGAACCTCTCTTCATAGCTAGCTTAGTGTTGTTTTTTGTTTTGCTTCTGTAGTGAAGAGATTGGCAGAAGTAAATTTAATCCCATGATTGGTCTGGGTGACCATGAACGTAGAGATGAAGCCCTATATGATGATTTTGAGACAGCAAAGGCTCGTGAGGTGTGTAAGCAGTGATTTACTCTCACTTAGATGGCATTGTGATTGATATTTTATACTCACTGTTTGACATTTAGCAAATTTCATTAGTGAAATATTTTTCTAGCAAATTTCATTAGATGGCATTGTGATTTTTCTAACTACTGTGTCTAGAAAAGACTAGCCAAGGAAGCTCGGGTTCTAGAGATTCAAGCAAAGAATGTTGCTCTTGGGAAGAAAGTTTTTCCCTGCAGCTACAAAGGCAGCTAAGGGTAGGGAGGCATTATATTATAGGGTGACAAGCAAGGTATTATCTGTTTCTCTTTGTTCTTCTATATGCTGATTCTGCTCTAAGTATGCAAGACAAGAAAAGTACATTGTTGAATTAAATCAATTTGGCTTAGTTAGTGGAGACTTTAATTACTGTACTTTGTTTGTAGTATAGGATAATGGAAGAGGAATGTCACATGATGATATCCCGAATATGTTTGTAGAGGTTTGATGTGCTTGCCATTTCCAGTTATTTTCAAGTGGAAACTTTTGCATGTTCCTGCTTTTGTTATGTTCCAACTTCTTTCATTTTTCTTGACCTGCAATTAGGAGAACAAAGGTGTTTTTTAGACGCTTGATACATTCGTTTCAACTTTCATCTCTATTATTTGTTTACTTGTTATATATATCTTGTTTGTTTTTTATATTTTAATTATATTATTAACTTTAAATATGGATCCCATTTAAAAAAAGTAGTGGTAAAAAATCAATTTATGAAAAAAAGGTGCTACTAGTAGGGGTGGGGGAGGACTTAGTTCTCATTGCAGCCTAGATTTAAAACTAATACCAACGATTATACTCATGTTGATGAATGTTTTTTTATTTCATGTAACTCTTACGAAGACCTCGAGGGAATTGAATTGACCTCGCAACCCGCGTTTCTAAGCAATAGTCAACCCAAGCTTGTACCAAGCTCTCAACACTCATACAATAATTTCAAAATATCAATATTCAAAATAGTCTACCTAAAAGAGAACCCAAACTAGCTATTTAAAGTTTCATGCATTTATTACATAAGAGTCCCAAAAAGGATAAAGGGTGAGCTGGAGGTCGTGCTCGCCTAAGGGACTCAGCGAGATGACCCCTCCCTTGAAGCCTTTTGGAACATTTGGCGAGCTTGGGTCCTCGCCCAAGCCATTGGGCGAGTCTCCGAATGGCTCTTACTCGCCTAAAGTGGCAGTTTCGTCAACTATCTTCCCTTCACTTCCCCAAGCGATCTTCAAGGACCCCTCCTTTGCCATCAACACGAGCTCAAGGACCTCTAACTTCATGAACAAACCTTGCATCCTTTGAAGGTCTCGAGCTTGGCTTCGAGTGAACGACCTTGGTGCAATCTGAATTGCATCATTCTCTCCTTCTTGAAAAGAATTTGTCCTCAAATTCGACGGATCATCATCATCAAGAGTTGAAAATGGAGAAAGATCGCAAACATTGAAGGTGTTGTGAACTTGATACTCCGGAGGAAGGTCAATTTTGTATGCATTGTCATTTGAGTCTTTCAAGCACTTGAAAGGGACCATCACCTCCTGGCATCAACTTTGTTTTCCGATGAATGGGAAATCGCTCCTTGCAAAAATAAATGCACCCACACCCACTCACCCGATTCTAGTACAATCCTCTTGCGACCCTTGTTCACCTTTTTGGCTACCTCTTGGTTCTTCTTTTCTAGGTGAAGTCTCACCTTCTCATGAAGTTTCTTCATGGCTTCCGCTCTTTTGCTCCAATCTAAGGTTCATTTGGTTCCTAAAACGTGAGGTGAGCTGCTGATTCTACTCTTGGAGTGACTCAACATAATGCTCCCAGAAATTGGAACCGGAAATAAGATAAAAGAATAAAAAAAAAGACCATAGTAGATCTATGATTAGCCCTCGGTCGGGATGGTCTTGTCGAAGAACTTGATTCATGCTAAGACAACATCTTGAGAAAGAGGAGTGAGATCACTTCAAATGGAGTCTTGCCAATAGTTCTATGAATAACTCGATTATAAGAAAACTCAACTAAAGGAAAATGTTCCTCCCATGAGGCCAACTTTCCATGCACCACGACACGAAGCATAGAACCCAAGGTCCTATTCACAACTTTAGTTTGGCCATCGGTTTGTGACAAGAAGTTGAGAACAACAACTTGGTACCAAGTCTACCCCACAATTCTTTCCAAAAGTGACTTAAGGAATTTTGTGTCCCTATCACTTATGATGGTTTGAGGAATTCCATGCAATTTAACAACATTTTCAACAAACGAAGTAGCCACATTGGGCTATTTCAAAAAAAAAAACAAAGTAGCCACATTGGAAGCATCATCACATTTATGACATGGAATGAAATGAGCCATCTTTGAAAATCGATCAACAACAACAAAGATGCTATCTCTACCTCTTTTTGTCTTTGGCAAACCCAAAACAAAATCCATTGAAATATTTGCCAAGGTCTTTGAGGGGTGGGGAGTGGAGTGTATAAACCATGGGGAAGGAGGCTTGAATTGGCACTCGGACATTCAATACATTGGCCACAAATTCGAGCAAAATCTTTGTGCATCTTAGGCCAATAGAATTGTTCCTCGAGAATTCCCCTTGTTTTATCAACACCAAAATGACCCATTAATCCCCCATTGTGTGCCTCCCTCACAAATAGTTCTCTCAATAGCTCATAGGCACACATAGTCTCTTGCCTTTGAACAAGAAACCATCAAACTTAGAATAGGGAGTAGAAGGTCTATCCCTAAGCCACCTTTCCCTCTCCCATTCCTCACAATCTCGTAAGATTTGAGCAAACATGGGATCCTTGGGATACATTGTCTTCAAACATTCAAAGCCAAGCAATTTAGAAGACAATGTATTTATCAACACATTGGTCTTGAATGCGGTTTTCCATTCATCACTAGGGTTCATCCGAATTTGATGAGAACCACTCCTAAGATCAATATTTGAAAACACACGAGAGCCATTGAGCTCATCAAGCATATCCTCTAATCTAGGGATACGATGACGCGATACTTTACCGTGATCTTGCTAATGACTCGACAATCAACACACATGCGCTATGTTCCATCTTTCTTTGGAACCAAGAGAACCAGAACGGCGCACAGACTCATACTTTCTCTCACATAGCCCATGTTGAGGAGTTCCTCAACTTGCCTTTGTAACTCTTTGGCAATTGTGAGCCCGACATGAAATCAATTTGGTGCTCAATTCCCCGAAGAGGGGGTAATCCACTTGGAAGCTCCTTTGGGAAGACATCCTCATAATCCTGCAAAATAAGGGAAATAGCAGAGAAGAATGAGATTGGTTAGTTTGCAACACATGATCCCTATGTGTGATATTCAAAGAACTTTTGGCCTCCACTTCCTCCCTTATCTCTTTGTAAGCCAACAACCTTGGGCCTTTCCTCTCTCAACTTCCTCCTTTCTTCCTCTTCATTGCCCTCGACTTCCACATGTTCTTCCTCATCTTTTGTGAAGCAGAGACAAGTCAGATCAGGCATTTGAGAGCCATCCTAACAATTTTTGAAGGTATCTCAGGTCTCCATGTAAATTGGCTGAAAAGTCACATTTCTCCTATCAACCAGGTTTGGAATTTGCAAGATCTGGCTGTTATTCTGGGCTGCCAAGTGGAATCTTTACCAACTAAATATTTGGGACTGCCACTAGGTGCTAAAAACAAAGAATTAGAGGTGTGGAGTGGGGTGTTGGAAAGGTGCGAGAATAAACTATCTAGGTGGAAAAGTCAATATCTCTCTTTAGGGGGCAGATTGACTCTCACCAAGTCAGTTCTTGATGGCATGCCTACATACATGATGAGCCTTTTTCCCATACCAAAGAGCATTGAAAAAAAACTCAATAGAGTTAGGAGAGCCTTTCTATGGCAAGGAAACAAGGAGAAGAGAGGTTATAACCTTGTGAAATGGGATGAACTGACTCTCAACACTCAACAAGGGGGGCTCAACCTGAAGAACCTCAGCAAACAAAACACCTCTCTCTTGCAGAAATGGCTTTGGAGGTTCTCCTCAGAAGAGAGGGCCATTTGGAGAAGATTCATAGCCGGAAAGTATGGTTTACTCAATCACTGGACAACTGAGGAGGTTGCGGGAACCTTTGGATGTAGTGTCTGGAAAACCATAAGAAGATTATGGCCTCATTTCAACAACAACATGTCAATCACTGTTGGAAATGGTTTGAAAACTGATTTCTGGAATGAGGTGTGGATTGGAGAAGACAGTCTTAGAAACTCCTTTTCAAGAACAGCCTAAGAAAGTTAAGTTTTCTTGTTAAATAGTAATACAAATGTTACCTTCCTCAAAAAATGAGTACAACCATAGTATCTTTATATCTTATTTAGATGAGCCGTCTAAGAAGCAAAAAGCATGACCTCCGAGTAAGAAAATGATTGTGAACAAACTTCTTTGCAACCTCACAGTAAAACTTTATAGGCTACAACCCTAAGATTTCTAAATACACTTAGCAGTGGACAACAGTCTCAGTGTAGCACAAAATAAAGAAGGCAACGGTCAGAATATCATCTTCAGAAAAAACCTTAACGACTGGGATATGGACAGAGTTACTGACTTTTTTGTTCTTCTTTCCTCAGTTCCAGATTTAAACAGTGAAAATTTAATTTTGGAGGGGCAGCAGAGAGATGGTTCCAATTCAGTGAAGTTGTGTTACTGCATGCCAGTAAAAGAAGCCAGCCAAGAAACTTATGGGTCATGGAACAAGGTTTGGAACTCTAAAGGCACCAGTGGAAGTAATGTGCTTTACATGACTAGATCAGAGAAGCTTTATCAAACTCAAGACAATTTGCAAAAGAGGGGCATACAACTAGTCAGCAAATGCTTTCTATGTGGAGGAGAATCAGAATCAAACAAACATCTTTTTGCGTAGTCCTTTCACTTCTCAGATTTGGCATCACTGTTTTGAACCTTAAATGAGTCATGCCTAATTCACCTGCTGATCTGTTACTATGCCAACACAAAAAAAAACCCTTCCTTTTCTCCCTCAAACTCACTCATCTTTTGATACAATTCATTGACCTGAGAGGGTGACAAGGATGGACATATTTATGATCATCCAACACAAGTGAATATTTGTTGGTTCTCCCCTCATGTTTGTGAACGATCATATTGCCAAGGTCTTTCGAGTAGCACACGACAAGCTTGCATTGGGACTACATCACATAAGAATCTCATCTTGGTAGGGGTGTGCAAAAACCGAACTGACCGATAAACCGAACCGATAAAAGTGTTATTGGGGTATTGGGTTAACAATTTTTTAATGGTTTTATAAAAAAAATTATTGGGTTATCGGTTTGGTATTGGTTTTAATATTGGGTTATTGGTAAACCGATAACCCATTAAGACTAGTAATTTACTATTTTTACTTGTACATAAATATTATATATTAATCTCAATATCTTACTAGTTATTATCTTTGTCCTTTAGCTTTTAATTCACATCTCACAACGACTGAGTTA